CAGGAAGAACTAGCTTATTCGATTTAGGAGTCTTTGTTCATAAATAGCAGTTGTACCTGTGGAAGTACAAAACTCATATATGAAGAGTACATGATATTTGTAGACAAGCAGGATGACAGCAGACCTTGCAGAGACGGCAGCGACAAAGCCAAATCTGCATGTCCCCAAACTAAGAAGAAACAGAGAAAAGAGCTTGGCATCTCAAAAGTCAAGAGAGAAACATTTCAATAAGGTGGTTAATAAAGTCAAAGTTTCAAAAGAGACGTGGCAGGGAGAATGCCGCAGACTGGACAGTTTAAGAAGTTATCAGTGGTCATGGCTTGATTTCACTGAAGAAACGGGAGCAGGAGCTGCATCACAGTGGTTTCAAGGGTCTAAGAAGGCAAAGTGGAACCTGGTAGGCGCCAAGCTGAGATTTACATTGTGTTTAGGATGATGGAGACTAAGCTTATGCAGGGGCACAGGACAGAAAGAGGATAATGGGTGGAAAGCCATGGCAGCAAAGGAAATGTTAAGGCAAGAGCACTCTCGAACCACCCTTCCTCTTAGACCGAGAAGACAGCAGTAGTAATGGATGAGACAGGAAGACAGGTAAGTTTAAAAGGCAGGAAACTGTAAGCCATCCATACATGATAAACTTTCATTTTCCTGGGGGAGGGGCAGGGAGAGGTAAGGCTGTATGTTAAGCAAAATGGGAAGTTGAGTGATGAGTATTTATATAGCTCCTGTGGGGGATGGAACTGGCCAGGAAAAGTAAAAAGAGTACTGAATATTATTAATGCCCTAGGTTAAACCTTTGATACTCAGTGTTATCTATGAACGTGAGTGTTTGACTTTTTCTGGTAATCCTCAGAATCTGAATTGAGAGGCAGAGAGAAAGCAGAGTAAAGCCTGCAAGAAGAAAAGCAAAGAAATGGAGTTACCAGACTGCAGAAAAGGAAAGGGGCCAAGGTACCATATCGGTGTGGACTAGGCAGACAAGTGGCATATGACTAACAGGAGAGAGCTGAACAAAACACAGGTTGGGGCTGAACTCTGCTCTCCTGGAATTCAGAATCTGGAAATAAGTCAAGCCTGCATGATAAGTCCAGGATATGGCCACTACAGTGAGCTGCTGAACTGGGGCAGACATGGTGGTCACTCGAACAGAAAAGGCTGGTGAGGCTACTGTATTAAAATTGGGTCATTTACAAGGATTCATTTCAGCGTATAATGGTATGAGTTTCCAGGGTAACACTACTCATGTGATTATTTTGAATAAAGCTGATTGATTACTCAATTTCATTTCATTTTTATGTCTTTGTTTAGATTTTACACATATAAACATGCACACAAACACACACATACGACCACCCTCTCCGTCTCCCTCACCTCCATATCCCCATTTCTAGTCTGTAATATAGGGTCACCATTACGATAGCTAAGAAAGCTTTCAGTTAGTCCTTTACAAATCGGTGTAATTCTTCAAAGATAACTTTAGTGTCAGGTTTTAAAACCAACAAAAATTAGACTATACTTTTATGCTAGGCTTCCAAATAAAATAAAAAATCTGGAATCTAGCTGGTTTAGCATGTGATATTAAGAAGAGAAGAAACAATACAAGCTATACTCCCAAAAAAAGTATGAATGAAAAAAAATTAAACCACAAGCCAGACAGTGGCACAGTGGTAAAATAAGATGTTCTGTGGGGCTCACCCACACAGGAAGGTTCTGGTTTGCATCTAGAGACCTTCCTGAGTATGCCAGGCTCACGTGTGTCCATGATCTGGCCTGGTTGAGCCTGGGTTAGAGCATGGCTTCAGGACCCTGTAGGTGATTGTTGTTTCTCATGGAAGAAATAAGTTAAAAAAAAAATACACGCACACACACACACACACACACACACACACACTCGACCAGCAATCATGCTCCTAGCCATTTTAGGCCTCCTATGCCTCATATCCCAGCTGGCAGCACTGCATTAGCTAAACAATATTATAATTAATTAATAGTAAAAAATCAACGAGCTTAGAATATAAATGTGTCACTGAATACATAACTCACTTGAAGGTAAAAATAACTCAGTTTCTGACAGTTTTGGACATTTACACCACTGTTGTCCATTTACAAGTAAATCTTTCTTTATGTGGTCACCAGCTGAATCTTGGTTATCTTTCCTAGATGTATAGAGATATTAACTCTTTGCACTTGTTTTAAGAAGGTGTGGTTATACAGACTGGATCCCTAAAAGGCAAAGACAAT